GAGAGGAGCTTCTGTCTTGCACCTTCACCCCCAACGTGGGATGTGGCGCCCCCTGCAAGGCTGCGTGAAGCTGCGATGGCCCCTGCGAGGCTATGACGGCCCCTGCGAGGCTGCGACGGCCCCTGCAAGGCTGTGATGGCCCCTGTGAGGCTGCGACGGCCCCTGGGAGGCTGCGACAGTCCCTGCGAGGCTGTGACGGCCCCTGTGAGGCTGTGTGAGGCTGCGATGGCCCCTGTGAGGCTGCATGAGGCTGCGACGGCCCCTGCGAGGCTGTGACGCCCCCTGCGAGGCTGCAACAGCCCCTGGGAAGCCGACGGAACCGCGAGAGCCGCCCAGACGGCTTCGTCGATGGCCTGTGAATCAGCTCACAGCCCCACGCACAACTATCTCCCGAAGGGCGAGAGGGGCGAGAGCAGCTGTATTAATAATCTGAACAATAAAGATTTATTTAAAAAAATATATTTTCAAATAAATAGGAGGGCCTATTATACGCTAGAAAAACTTACTGGCCAAGCAGATAGACATGTAAATAATTACAATAATAAAAGGTAATAATACTAGGTACACAGTGCAATGAGGATAGAAAAAAATGCATGCCAGGGAAGTAAGCATGAACGTGGGAACATTTAATTTGAGGTAGGTCTTTGAAAGGAGGCATAAGAATAAACCAGATAAATCAAAATGAATGCTTGGTACAACTATAAGAAAGGTCTGGTTTCTGTTACTCTCCCATTACACATAGCACACAAAATAGTTTATATTTTATCTCCTGAAAATATTAAGGCTTTCCCCAATAAAATTCACTAAATTAAGATACATGTGCCAAAAAAAAGGGAACAAAAAAGGACGCAACTCACTTTCAATGAAAAACATGAACCAGAATCCCTAAATTTGGGTAATGGGGGAAAGATGTTCATTAGAAAAGGCATACTATAAAATAACTTAGTAGAAAAATATTTTGGGTTATTTCAAAAATAATGCATTCAGTTTACTCTGTAATATATTACCTTTATTTTGCCCACATTGTAAGATGGAATTTTTTATAGTATTTAAGGAACTGAAAAAAACACATACTTTTAAAAAGGCCATGACTAGCCAGCATTTTTTTAAAAAAATAAGAATGCCTACAAAATCCAACATACACACACACACACACACACACACACACTGGCTAGGTGACTGGGGGACCTTGCCCAAGTTGAATTTACTTGTCTTAAATCATGATGTTCTTATATCAGGAAAACAGGGATTCTGAAAGCACACTTCTTACATGATATACATAAATCACTTAATAGTACCTGAAATATTTAATGAAGCATTCAATAAATCTTAGTTCCTATTATCATCCTGGTGCTACCTACTATTTAACGGAGAATGTAGGAAGACACAAATGCTCCAAAAACCAACTACAGAGGCACAAAACCAAAGATATATCTATTTCTTTTTTTTATTCTTTTAAAAAAAATATTGTAAGTATTACAAAGGGTATTACATATGTGTCCTTCCCCCCCCGCCACCCTTGCCAATCCCCTGCCCTCCCTTACCCCCCAGTGTCTTATGTCCATCAGTTATGCTCATATGCATGCACACAAGTCCTTCGGTTGATCTCTTACTCCCCTCCCTTCTGCCCCCCAACCCTCTCTGGCCTTCCCACTGCAGTTTGACAATCAGTTTGAGGCAGCTCTGCCTCTGTATCTATTATTGTTCAAAAGTTTGTAATGGTCTTTATTATCCATGAATGAGTGAGATCATGTGGTATTTTTCCTTCATTGACTGGCTTATTTCACTTAGCATAATGCTCTCCAGTTCCATCCATGCCGTTGCAAATGGTAAGAGTTCCTTCTTTTTTACAGCAGCATAGTATTCCATCGTGTAGATGTACCACAGTTTTCTAATCCATTCATCTACTGATGGGCACTTAGGCTGTTTCCAAATCTTAGCTATGGTGAATTGTGCTGCTATGAACATAGGGGTGCATAGATCCTTTCTGATTGGTGTTTCTGGTTTCTTGGGATATATTCCTAGAAGTGGGATCACAGGGTCAAATGGAAGTTCCATTTCCAGCTTTTTGAGGAAACTCCATACTGTCTTCCATAGTGGCTGCACCAGTCTGCATTCCCACCAGCAGTGCACAAGTGTTCCTTTTTCTCCACATCCTCTCCAGCACTTGTCGTTTGTTGATTTGTTGATGATAGCCAGTCTGACAGGTGTGAGATGGTACCTCATTGTTGTTTTGATTTGCATCTCTCGAATGATTAGTGACTTTGAGCATGTTTTCATATGTCTCTTGGCTTTCTGAATGTCCTCTTTTGAAAGGTGTCTATTTAGATCCTTTGCCCATTTTTTGATTGGATTGTTTATCTTCTTTTTGTTAAGTTGTATGAGTTCCCTATAAATTTTGGAGATTAGGCCCTTATCAGATATGACATTGGCAAATATGTTTCCAAGGAAATAAGGTTACACATTTTACATTAGTTATATATCTTAGTATGACTGCAATCTGTCCCTGTTTACTGAAAAATTGTAAATGGAAGATTACAAGAGAGGGTTTCGCGTGCCAGCAAAAGTTACTGGTGTGCCATGTTTGGCACGCGTGCCAGGGGTTCCCACTCCTGGCTATAGGGTGTTGGTGGTTCTGGGACTTCTCAGCTGACACAGCAAAGAAATATATGTGTGTATACACCAGCCCATTCCTGTT